TTTGCGGGGCTATGAAGGCGGCGAGGTGGGCTTCGGGTGTGAAGGGGTCCCCCCACGGAGCCCTCTCCAGGGACCGGGCAGGCTCGGAGGCCTCGTGTGCGGGGCGGAGGTCTGGGGTCCCAGCCGGGCTCCTCCGGGAAGCGGCGCTCATTTCTCGGGGTGTCGCTTCTGCGAGAGGGAAGGCCCGGCCACTCGCGGAAATGAACGGCGCCTCTTTTCCGGGGAAAACTCCGGCCGTTCTCGGGGGCGCCCAGAGCCAGCTCGCGGGGTCCTCGCGTTTTCCGCGGGGTCTCGTGGCTAAAGTAAAGGAGCATAAATTAAAAAAAAAATCGCCTGCAGCCCAAGCCCAGCCGAGGCCCCCTCGCGCGCCCTTCTCCGAACAGCGTCAGCTTTGAGAAGGGACTCAAAGGGTGCAATTTCCCCAACCCGCGTATTGGGGGGGGGCAGATTTGCCTGCGCCCCCATTTGCGCTCTAAATTGCCCGCCGTGGCTCCCCAGAGCGATTCGTGGCCCCGTTCATTTCCCCGCAAGTTGTGGCGAGCGCCTGGGGCCTTTTGGCCAGAAGCAACCTCTAGTACTTCCAGGATCGGGGCCCCGGCCGCCTCCTCCCTTCTTTTCCTTCTCCTTCTCTTCTGCACCCCCTTCTCTTTCTCCTTCCCCTTCTTCTCCCTCTCCTCCTCGTTTGGCCTGCTCGTTTCCCCCCCTCCCCAAGCCGCGAGGCCCCCCATTCCCCTCGGACGGAGCCCTGGGCAGCCTTCTCAGGAGCCTGGCCTTGAAGGACGCCCCAGGAATCGAAGCCCAGCGCTGATCTTTAGCCAGGCGCAGCCTCGGGCCTTCAAGGAAACCCACCCCGGGCGCCAAGGAAGCCGCGGGCGGCAGCTGGAGGCCTGGGGAACCCGCGTTGCTCTGGCCCTCTTCCGGGAAGGGCAAGTGGGAAGCTCCGGGAGAGTTTCCAAAGAGGAAGGAAGAAAGGAACGGGAGGAGCTTTTGGGGAAGGGGAGTCGAGGAGATTTGGGGCTGCAGAAAAGAGAAATCAGAACAAAACGGAGCTCCTTTTATTCAGGCCTTGGTGACGAGTTTGCTCGGTTCCGGGTCTAATTCGAAGTGCTGTTTTTGACATTGAAGCTCTTTATGGCTTGGGGCCAGATTATCCGGGGGGGGGGGAACCGTCCTCTCCAATTACTTTTGACCGTCCTTCAGTTATAGGGCGCGTTGTGGGTCCCCCTTGCCAGGCGGTTCCAGGCGGTGGGCCTTCTCTCTGCTGCGGTGCCTGCTTTAGTCTCCCCAACCTCGACGGAGGCTGCTTTCCTCCCTTGATATCCCACCAGCCCTCAAATCCTGGTTGTGCCCATGAGGCCTGCGGGCCCCCCAGAGAAGCGGAGGATTATTATTAAATGGGTACATAGTTTCCCCTAAAATTCCTTTGCATCGTTTTTAAACGTTTTAACTGTAACGATCATATTGCGGCACATTTTAGCTTTGTGGCGCGTCGCTGAGACGGGAGGCTAGAAAAGCCTGATAATTACAAAAAAATAAATAAATTAAAACATCGAAAATAAATTGGGTAAAGACACGCGGCGTTGTCACCCACGTCGGTGACTATAAGGGAAGGCTGCACGGACGCTCCCGCGTGGGAATCCTTGCGTCTGGGGCCTGTTAGTCCATGAAGGCCGTGCGAAAATCTCCAAGGATCTTCCCCGCAGGAGCGCCCCGTTTTCCGAGGCCAACGCTACGCCACGGATCCCCCGAAAACCACCGGATCGAAAGGCTGCACCGCCTGATCCCCACACGGATTTTTTTTCCCCCCAGGCTGCCGGATTTTAACCGCGAGTCGCCTCCGACGCGCTGAGAAAGAATAAAAGGGAGTTTTCGACTTATCGTTTTTCCAACGACCAAGGAATCAAATGTAGTTTTTTTTTTTGTTTTTGTCGTGGGGAAGGGCTGGAAGGATGAACTAACAGTTGAGGCGGAGACTTCGCCAGGCGACACATTTGGGGGGAAAAGAGGAAAAGGCTGGGTGGAAAAATCCGAGATATTCCGGCGGCCTTCTCGGCAAGGCCGCTTCCCCTCCCCCGGCGATTCCAAACCAAGCTCGCCCCAGCTTCAGGGGGTCATTGGATCGGCCGCCTTCAATCCGAAGGGCGCTCAGAAGCCCTTTACTCCCGAGCAAGCCTCTTCGGCGGGAGAAAGGGAGAGGCGGAGGCAGTACTGGCGGCGACTCTGGCCTGGCCGGAGGGCGACGCAATTCTGCGGGATCCCGCTTGCCCGGTGCCCGAAAGACGGGGCGGATGGAAAGAGCGCGGGCAGGCCTGGTTTGGGGGTCCCCTCCGCCGCTTTCTCTCCAGCCCCTCTGCCCAGCCTCGGAGGGGAAGCGAAGGAGAAGCCGGAGCTCGGCCTGAAAAGCCTCCGAAGGGAGGCCGCGGCCAACCCTCTACTACCGCCTCCCCCCAAATTCCGAGGGGGGAACGGAGGAGACCTTCGGCGCTGGGAAACGGTGGGGCAGCCCCTGTTTCGGCCGTTAGTATTTGCACAACCACCGCCAGCACAAAAGGACACGGAGGAGGGCCTTTCCGAAAGAAAACCCGTTATTTTCCTTTATTTCCTATTACATAGCATACTAGCTATTATTATAGTATAACTATTAGCTATATTTTACTATGACAACTAGCATTACTACTAATAGTAATTCTCTTCCTTGCCTTTCTTTTAAGACAGTTGGGCAACTAATAAATACTAGTAGTAGCAGCAGCAGAGAATTATTACTAGCATTTGTAATAATTAATAGCATACTAGCTATTATAGTATAACTATTAGCTATATTATGACTATACTACAATTACTACCACGATAATAGTAATTCTCTTCTCTTGCCTTTCCTTTATATGATAGTTGGGCAGCTAATAAATAATACGATTGCAAGAGAATGATTACTACTAGCAGTAGTACTACTACTAGTAATTCTATTCCAGCGCCTCCTTGCCTTTCAACAGGCACTCCTCACACAAAGGGCAAATTTTAACCTCTCCGTCTTCCAGGATTTCTTTCTCCATCCGTGTAAAGTAAGAGCTCCGCAGATCAACCTCGGATTTGTAAACAACACCCCCCCCTCCCCGCGGTAAATATCCCACTGAAATCGAGCTTGCCAAGTGGGGGTGTCCGAAAATGACCATTCAGTCGCTTCTCGGCCTGAGCAGCAAAGAGCCACCCCCGACCGCTGTTCCCCCCACTCCCCAAATTTCACCCGAGAGTGGGGAAGACCACCCCGTTCCCCACCGGAGGGGCGAAAGGCAGACCTCAATTCCAGCCCCGGTGGCGGATAATCCCAGCGCCCAAAGGGCTCCGTCGGCCTCCCCTCCGAGACTCCGTTCATCTGCTTTGGGGGCCGATTTCACAGCGAGGACCCCCCCCCACACACACTTTTGAAAAGTCAGGAGGCCCACGCTCAGGGCGGCCCAGTCCACAAAACCACCCAGCCTCCGTAGCGCACAAGCTCGGCCAAATAACCTCGGGAAGGGAGCCAGGTGTGCTAAGGGCTCCCACGACAAATCGCTGGAGCTGGTCGGGAGAAGGAAGGAGGGGGGGAGGCGCTGGGGGGGTGTATTGTCCGGCCAGGCCAAGCTCAGGACCAGGTATTTGTCCTGAGGTTGAAAGGAGGAACCATCTAAGCCTAGAAAAGGAACGCGAGGGGGGGGAACCAAGACCCCCCCCCCCCGAGACCTTCCTCCCCCCCCCCCTCCCCCCCCCCCGCCAGCTCCCCGCCATTCTTCTTGAGGAGTCCCCCCCGCCCCTTCTCCCCCTCCTTTTCTCCGGGGCTGTTTCGCAATCGAATCCTCAACCGAAGCGCTCGCCGGCCCGGCCCGGCCCAGAGGCTGCTCGGCAAAAGCTCCTTCGCTGATGCCGGCGCCCCCCTCCCTCCCTCCCTCCCGCCTCCGCAAGGTGGGCTGCGGGACTCCCGTTTCCATCCTCCCCAGCCAAGAGACCCAAGGCCCCAGGCATCTGCTGGGGAAGGCTGATGGGGACCGGGGCGCAAGAATTTCCCCAAGGCGGCGGGTTTACCAAAGGCGATTTCAACCCGGAGGGAGAGAGGGGGGGAGGCATATGACCCGGGCGGGGGTCTTTCTCTTCGTCAAGCCCAAGCGTGGGGGGGGGAGAAGATCCCCGCGCTGGGCTCTCGGAGGCCGCGGTGACGCGGTTTCCCTGCGACGAGGCTGGTGCGGGGACACGCGCGCGCCCACGCCCCGTGCCCCGAAGCCCGGGCAACGCGGGGGTGGGGGAAGAGCAGATGCGGCCAAGAGCGATTCCTCCAAAGCGCCCCCGCCCTCCTTGCCCGACTGCGAAGATTGACCCGATACAAGTTGCCCTTTCAGCCGCCGGAGCTCTTCCAGCCTCAATTACACACACACACACACACAACGCAAATAGAAACAAACAAATACGCACAGGAGAAAATCTTCACTTAAGCTCAAACCTCCCTCTCCGCTCCACTCGCCCGCCCCCCCCCCCCCCCCACCCCCCGCAAAAACCCCCCCGGGGGGGGGGGCCCTCCCCCCCCGCATGGGATGGGGGGCGGGGGGGGGGGGCGCAGGCGACTGAAAAGGGACCCCCGGTGGGAGCAACCAGGACCGGATCGGTTGGCACAGGCAGCGGCGAAGCGGGAGCCGGGAGGAAGGACCAGGCGACGGTCAAAAAAATGGGTTTTGGCCTTGGAGTAGAGGGAGCGCAGCCAGCTGGAGACCCCTGTTGTTGTTTTTTTATATGCCGCCCTTCTCCGGAGACTCAGGGCGGCTTACAATGTGCTAAGCAATAGCCTTCATCCTTTTGTATATTTATACAAAGTCAGCTTATTGCCCCCACAAACCGGGTCCTCATTTTACCCACCTTAGAAAGGATGGAAGGCTGAGTCGACCTTGAGCCTGGTGAGATTCGAACCTGCAGAAATTGCAGGCAGCTGGATGTTAAATGCTGCCTAACGCCTAAACGCCACTAACCCTACCCCTTACCTCGCACCAGGATCCGGCGGCAATAATCCGTTTCGCCCGCGGGGGACTGGTTGCCGCTCTCCGAAGGGCCGCTGGAAGCCGACGTCCCCGCCGCCAGGTCCCTGAATTCGCCGCCTCCGCCGCCTCCCTTGGCGCCCTCCTTGTCCCGCGCCCGCTCGAAGGGGCCGCCGGGGTCGGCCAGGAGGTGGCCGCGTCTGCCGGAGCCGCTGCCCGCATCGCTCATGCCGGGCTGGAACATGGGCGCGTTCTCTGCCGCGGAGGAGCCCCTTCCTCCTGCCCGCTACTCGGGGTCGCCCACGGGGGGCCGGGAAGCCCAGGGAGGCGGCATGACGCCCGGCCGACCTCGGCCAGTTTTCCCGCTCGGGAGGCCTCCGGCTGCCCCTGACCCAGATGGCTGGAACCGGCCCCTAGAAGCCCCGCGGGCTGCCTGGAGAAGCTGCCGAAGCCCCGCGAGAGGCAGAAGCGCGGCGGGGCCCAAGGGCTGCCGGAGCCTCGGGCATGGCTGGTCCCCCGGACGGGTCGGGGGCTCAGACTTCTGCGCTCCGCCGCGCTCCTCCCGCCTCCATCCCCGCGCTGCGCTGCTGCCTCCCGCCCGCTCGCCCGCCCGCCCGCCTGCCAGCTCCGCGCCGCCCGGCTCTCTCTGATGAGCGAAGGGCGAGCGCAGCCAGCAAGCCCTGCCCCCCCCGCCCCGACGCCCGCCCCCGCCCCCCCCGCCGGGTTGGCCCATCCCCGGCTCCAGGCGACCCCGGCCGAGATGGGGGGGGCGGGGGGTCTCGGCCGGGGCCCTCCTGAGTTCCGCCCCCCCCCCCCCGCGCTCGCCCCGCCTTCCTGGAGTGACCCCCCCCTGAAGCTGGGGGGGGGGGTGGGCGGTATTCCCCCCCCCCCACCCCGCGCACGTAATTTCCTGCTGGCGGAGGCTGCCCGGTTCATTCATTGGCGAACAAAGAACGGCCGGGCGGCCCCCGCCCACCTTTCCCCGAGAGGGTCCGCGGTGGCCTTCGGGCATCCCTCTTGCCCCCCCCACTCCGTCTCCTGGCTGGCCCAGCTGTCGCCCCCCGGCTTGGGGAGAGCCGCCGTTCATAGGCGCTGCTTCGCCGGGCGGGAAGAACGGACTGGCCGGAGTAGAAACGTTCCCGGGGACCGGTGCGAGATTCAGGGTCCCTCAGAGCAGCCCTGGCCCAGAGCTTTATTTGCCCCCTGCCCCTTTTCGGGATGCCGGTTAGAAAGCGCCTCGCGGGGGCTGATTCCCTTCCCTTCCTTCCCATCATTTCCTTTCCTTCCTTCCCTTCCCTCTCCTTTTTCCTTCCCTTCCCTTCTCCTCTCCTTTCCTTTTCTCTTTCCTTTCCCTTTCCTCTTTCCTTTCCTTCTCTCTTTCCTTTCCTTTCCTTTCCTTCCCTCTCCTTTTTTCCTTTCCTTTCCTTGCTCTCCTTTTTCCTTTCCTTTCCTTTCCTTCCCTTCCCTCTCCTTTTTCCTTTCCTTCCTTTCCTTTCCTTCCCTTCCCTCTCCTTTTTCCTTTCCTTCCTTTCCTTTCCTTTCCTTTCCTTTCCTTTCCTTTCCTTTCCTTTCCTCTCCTCTCCTCTCCTTCTCCTCTCCTCTCCTCTCCTCTCTCTCCTTTCCTTTCCTTTCCTTTCCTTTCCTTTCCTTTCCTTTCCTTTCCTTTCCTTTCCTTTCCTTTCCTTTCCTTTCCTTTCCTTTCCTTCCCTTCCTTCCCTTCCCTTCCCCTTCCCTCTCCTTTTTCCTTTTTCCTTTCCTTTCCTTTCCTTTCCTTTCCTTTCCTTTCCCTTCCTTTCATTCCATCTCCATCCACCCGTCCATTCATCGATAGGCTGAGCCGGAAAAATGCGAGGCAAACGGATTGCACGGACTGGCTGCCCGCTAATAACCCTCGGGGTGTGTGTGTGTGTCCTGGGACGCCTCCCCGGCGTAACCAAATCCGCCCCCCCCCCCCACAGCCGGCGTCTTGCCCTGCTGAAGCTGCTGCTGGTTCTAACCAGGCCCGAGCAATCTGTTTCGGAATAAAGGGATAGCGTGAGACCTTCATCCACCCGTGACTTTCCGAGGGTTTCCTGGACGAAAGCTCTCGCCTTCAAAACTTGGGGCAGAGAGAGGGGGGGCGGGGGAGCTGCTCCTGAATCCACCCAACCGGTTTCCGCGCCTGAAGGAGGACCCCATCTTAGCCCAGCATCTTCCAACTGCCCGGCGGTGCCACTTGGGCTCAGAGCCAGGCGCCCCCAGCCGTTCTCGGAGCCGGAAGGGAGAAGTACCACTCGCGTTCTCCCTGCTTTTCAGGACTGGTGGGGCGAGAACCGGGTTAGTTCCCGGGTGCCAAAAACACACGGAGGAATCCGATAGTGGCTTTTCCCGACCAATTTTAATCAAAGGCAGAAGGAGGGAAGAAGAGGCTCTGCTCTTCCCCGCCTGCGGAAATGCGCGCTCCCCTTGGAAGACTCGCAAGAGGTTGAAAACACTGGGTGGGGGGTGGGGGGCAGGGTGGGTACTGGATAGGATGTTGCCCCTTTTCCGACTGACCCCAAAGGCAGAAGCGACGGAAGGCCGCGGCTCACTTCCTCGAATGCGGAGGTTGCCTGGCCTGGTGGAGGACTTGAATTCGGGGAGGGGGCGAGGGGCGGAAGAGAAGCGAAGCGAAGGCTGGGCCTGCACACACGGGGCTCCGCGTCTTTGAAGCAGCCTCGGACTTTTGGCAAAAGTGCCTTCCTAGGCGGGGAAGACCCCACCCTGGGCGTGAGCAGAGACTTTTCTTCTGCCACACAGGTGTGGGACATATTTTAATGTTATTGGTTAAAGGCTGATAGTTTTCCTTTTTCCACCCCACCCACCCACGGAGGGCACTCCCTGACCAGCTGGGGATGGGGTGTGTTTGTTTGTGCGTGGACGCGTGACACCCGTTTCTCCCAGGGTGGGGAAGGTTTCCGGCTTTCTCTGGCGCGGAGAAGCCCCTTTCTAGGGGCTCCGTTAGCCTGGGCCTAGGACTCCCTCAACCAGTGGGGTTTTTTCCCCCCTTTGACATTAAGTTGCCACCGTTAAGGAAGAGAAGGAAAACCAGCACGTCCTTCCGGGTTTCCCCCTGGAATTTATTGAACGCGTGGCATCTACAGAGGTCGTACAATCGCTGGTATGCAAATATAAGATTAAATTAAGAAGCGTCGTCCCGTGGAACTATTTCGGTCTTTAGGCGGGCTGCTGGTCGAGAGAGGCGCTTCAAAGCCGAACGAGGTAAAGAATGAATTCTCGTTCAAATTCTTCCCCAAATTCCTCAGGATTCCGGATCCTTTTGCGGCGGTCCACTTTCCCCGCTGACTTGTCGAACCTCTGATAAAACCAACACAGACACCCACTCGCCAAAAAGGCAACAAACAAACAAACAAACAAACATCTCCAGGACAAGCCAAAAAAAAGAAAGAAAAAAAGAAAAAAAGAACCCCGAAGGAATTAAACCAGGAATCAGATTTTATTCGTCAAGAACAATGCAGAGGCACAAACGAAAGCTTTTGAAAAAAGGTTGGGAAAAAAAGAAAAAAAGCGGAGGAACGTATTTTTTTTATGTTTTTAGGGCTTGGTGAAATAAAACCGGAATAAATGTTTTTTTTATTTAAAATACTGACCGCTGCTCCTTTGGAGTGCCTGAAAAGTGATGATTTTTTTTTTAAAAAAAGAGAATAGAATAAAATCCCTTCCTTCAAATGCGATCAAAGGCCCCGTGAGAGGAATTGCTGTAGCCTTAATGCAGCTTTTTCTCTCCCACCCCCCCTGGAATTCAACCTTCCCTATTTTCCCATTTGGTTTACTTGCTTCGGAATCTTTTCCCTAAATGCGGAGGGATCCAGAGGGAAAGCTGAACCTGCCGCCGGGTGGGAATCTACTTGGAGAATCAGATTTGTAGAAATTATATTCCCGTTTTTCAAAACTTTAAAGGAGGTGGGGTATCACCTCCAGGAAAAGGCAAAAACAAACATACAAAAATACATACCGGTACATATATATTTACACTTATACCTTCCTGTTCCTGTTTTTGTTGCTTTTCTGCAATTTAGCAGAGTAAACTTCTGTAAACAATACAAAGGTTTCGCCGCCCGCTATCTTTTGGATGGAGAGGCTTTTTTCAAATGCCTTAGCCTAGCCTTCCTCGTGGTCTCCCATCCTTGAGATAACCAAGCCCAGGCCTCCTTGCCTGTTTGATGAGGGATGCGGGTGGGGAACACCCACGCCCTTAATTTTCCCACAAGAATGCGGGGGGCTCCTCGCTTTGAAAGGCTGGGATTATATTCTATTCCTCTCTTTAAAAAAAAAAAATCAAAAAAATCATTCCTTTTCAGGCAGTCCCAAAGGAGCAGCGGTCCGAATTTAAAAAAAAAAAAATTCTTACCGGTTTTATTTCACCAAGCCCATAAAAACACAAATGCCTTTGTTTTATTTCGGAAGGTGGTCAGAATGAAGCGGTTGGGAAGAAGGCAAGGCCGGGGCGGCTGGCTTAAGGGCTTCCTAAACAGAAAGGAATATAATAAACGCAGCAATAAATTATAAAAATATATGTTTTCACTCACAGAGCGCCGGTCCCCTCCAGCTCTGTCCTGACTCAATTTTGCCTCCCACCCCCCAGAAAGATCTTCCTGCCAGTCTGCCCTTCCTCCAAGGGGGCTCAGCCCCACCAGGCCTATAGGTGGTTAGGGGCGCCAACCAGGGACACCCCCAGCCCAATAAGACCCTTCACATCCCATCCCCCCCCCAACTCAAGGCTTTTCTTGACCCGGAACCTAGCAAGGCTCTGGGCCCCGCTTCAAATCCAGAACCTCCAGCCGGTTAAGAAGGACGAAAGAGCGAGGAAGGCCAAGCGGCGGTGCGGAGATGCAGCCCAGGGTCTGGGGGTTCTCTGCCTTGCGTGGCCGGCGGCCTCTGGGCCGGAACTGCGCGAAAAATGGAGGGACGAAGCCCGCAGCCTGGAACGGGTGAAAACGAGCCACCAAACCGGGGTTGAAAGGAGCTAGACCCGCCGAGCTTCCCCCGCCGAGGATCGGGCCCTCTTGCCAAGGAGGGCGGCCCTGCGAAGCGTTTGGAGAGGAGGGGGAGAAAAGGATTGGGGGAGGGGGGGGACTTCCCTGGCAAAGACGGTCCAACCTGCAGGAGGTTAATCACCCGCTACGCATGAAAATAAAAATAAAAATAAGGGGCGGCGGGAACAGAAGAAAATTACGAATTATGACCAATTAATTAGAGTAAATTAATTGCAACCCCCCTCTAAATTGTTGCAAAGAACATTTTCTCCCGCCTCGCAAATGCACAGGCCCACCCAGCTCCCCCCCAATGCAACCGCCGGGCCCCGCTCCTCGCTTCCATTCCGCTCCGCAAGCTGAGGTCGGGCGGCCTCCTCCTGTTCTCCCCTCGGTCTCGCTTCGCCCAAGGCCCCGCTCCCGCCGCCGGTTCCCCTGCCCGCAACCAGGCTTTGCGGCCCGGCCCTGCTTCCTGACCCCTCGCGGCTCGGAGGTTTAGAGAGGCAGGCGCGGCTCGGAGTTTGCGGAAGGACGATCGTTCCACGGCTCGGGAAGGCAGCGGGCGAGGGGCAGAGCGGGGGTCGATCTCTGGCCCGGCTGAACCCGCGTCCATCCAAC